CTTTGTGTGTAATTCCTAGGTCTTTAGAAGTGATTAATGATAACTTGAGATATGGTAAATCCTTTCAGCTCTTCTTCCCGACCTCCTTTCTCTGTGGCCTCCTGGCCCCTGGCCCAACTCCCCCTTCAGTATAAGGAGTATAACGTCTCTTTTACAGCCAGAGTGAAGGTAGAAAACACAAAAGAAAACTTCTTTGTTTTTGTGAGACAGGGCCTCACTATATAACTTGCTAGGTAGACCAAGCTGGCCTTGAACTCACAAAAGTTCTCCTCTGCCTACAGGGTGCTGGATTAAAGATGTGTGCCGCCATGCCTGACGGGAGGTTTGAATTTTAAAGGATAAGTTCCTGACTTCCTATGTTCACATAGGACAGAGTGCTCTGGATTCCCTCCCCTTCTTTCAGGGTTGGAACTTCCTATGTTTGGAGGTCGGCACCAGCAGCAGCAGCCAGCTGCAAATGCCATTTCCAGAGTGTTCTTGCCGCGTGTGTGGAAAACCACAGCCACAGCCACCTGCTCCTGATTCGTGTGTTTTCCCTCAGCCATGCTAGAATCTGAGGCCTACCAGCTGTTGGGCAGGGAGAGCATGTACTTGGCAGGGCTTCTTCCCAGTCCCCACACAGGAGCCCTTCTTTCCCTGCCTTGAGGGCGCCATGTCAGGATCATCAGACAGTTCCCCTTGCTTGGCACCTGCTGCCTTCATGTGTGTTCTGCTTATTCCTCTGCACACGTGAGTGCTGGAGTCTCTGCCGCTGAGCAAAGCAGGGACCTCCACAAGGCATGGGGCCTTCAAAGCAGGAAGAGAAACCCCAGGGTCTCACAGTGAGTGCGTATGAGCCTGGTTGGCCAAGGTGAGTAGACCAGAAGAAACTGGGTGTCCCACAGCAGCCTGCTCCAGCCTCTCCCCTCGAAGAACAGAGGCCCACGGTTCCTTCAACCACTTCTGCTCAGTCTCTGCTCAGTCAGCTGAAGGGCTGAACCTCCACTGGTGGACTCCAGTCAATTTACTACAAGGTGCAAACCTGAAAGCCAACTGCTGAGTGCTTTTTTTCCAGCTTGTGGGTTTTGTGCCTCACTCACCAGGTATTACAAGGCAAATGGTCCTATTTCTCAAAATGCAATTGACAGCCGCCTCACAAGTGAGGCCTAAGAAGGACAAGGACTGAGAGGAGTGAGGTCAGACAACTAAACGTTTTAACTAAGCATTGATTTTTTTAAAAGTTTAAACTTCAGTAGTAGTATGCTACAGGCATGCGCTTGACTGTGTGTGTGTGCATATATGTGTGTGTGCATATGTGTGTGTGCATATGTGTGTGCGTGCATATGTGTGTGTGCGTGCATATACGTGTGTGTGCATATGTGTGTGTGCATATGTGTGTGTGCATATGTGTGCGTATATGTGTGTGTGCATATGTGTGTGTGCATATGTGTGTGTGCGTGCATATACGTGTGTGTGCATATGTGTGTGTGCATATGTGTGTGTATATGTGTGTGTGCATGTGTGTGTGCATATGTGTGTGTGTGCATATGTGTGTGTGTGCATGTGTGTGTGCGTGCATATGTGTGTGTGCATGTGTGTGCGTGCATATGTGTGTGTGCATGTGTGTGCATATGTGTGTGTATGCGTGCATATGTGTGTGTGTGCATATGTGTGTGTGCATATGTGTGTGTGCGTGCATATGTGTGTGTGTGCATATGTGTGTGTCGGGGAGCATACGTGTGCCATGAGAAGCCAGAGGACAACTCTATGGAGTGACTTCTCTTCCACTGTGTGGGTCCTGGGGACAGAAGTCAGGCTTGCATGGCAAGTGCCTTTACCTGCTGAGCCATCTCGTTAGCCCCCAAACCCACGGCTTTTTTTATTTCTTTTCTGAGTAGCTGTTATTGTGGTTTGGAGTAATAGGTGAATTTTTCTCCCTTACATATTTGTGTTTATAATTATTTTATATATTTTATAATTGCTACATTATTATAATTATCCACAACAATTTTTGTTTTGTTTTTCGAGACAGGGTTTCTCTGTGTAGCCTTGGCTGTCCTGGAACTCACTCTATAGACCAAGCTATTCTCAAACTCAGAAATCTGTCTGCCTCTGCCTCCCAAGTTTTGGGATTAAAGGTGTGTGCCACCACTGCCCAGCTCACAACAATTTTTTTCAGGGGGGAGAGTGTAAATGAAGTTCCTACAAATTGTACAGTGAAGTCACTTACGTTGGGGAAAATCCTAGGAGCCAGCACATCCAGAGGGCAATGGATGAGCTTTGGCCTGGGAGAAACACCTTCGTGTTCATGGAGATAAGGAAGTATACACGGTGAGTTATTCTTATGAGGAGTGAAAACAGCCCTGGTGCCTGCTTTGTGCATGAAAACATCAGAGGCAACCACTTGGTGGGGGACTCAATACAGAGCACTTTGGTCATGCCGTAGTTCCCAATCGACCCTCCCCTTTCGCCACCTGTGACACTGTGGCCAGCAGCCCACGGTCTGTGTATTCCACATGCGGCCCTGCACACATGGTTTCTGGTGGCCTAAAAGCCATAGGGCTGAAGGTGTGTCTTCAGACACCAGAGAAGCACATCCGCTCAGCGACGATGAGACTTCCCCTTCCTGTCTCTGTCCTTGTGTCACGAGCGGCGCTTCTGTGTTCTTACTGTTCTTCTTTACTCAGACAAAGTCAACATTAGCCCAGACTGCCCTGAACCCTCTACGTACCCAAGAACAGCCTCAAGTGCCTCATCCTCCTGCCTCAACCCCCAGTGCTGGGATTACAGACCTGTACCCCATGACTGGCTTGCCTTCACTCTTTTCTACTATTCCCATTGTTTTTATGAAAGACTAAGGAGCAAGACACCATTGAACAGTTATTCTGAAACATGTTGAAAACAAACCAACCTATCTTTGGAGTGCAGACTTTGCTGGTGGCTGCGTATCTGTCTTCAAAGTAGAGAGGTGAGCCTGGACTCCCCATTCCAGGGGACCTCTGGACCCCTATAAGCCCTCCCATGTTGACTTTCAGACACCCATAGCTATGGTTTGAAAAAGACCCTTCTTAAGTCACTGCCATAAATGACTCGCAGACATTGCTCTAGTGACTTGGCCACAGCCCCACCATAACGAACTCCCAGAATTGGTGGATGTTTGTGGCCTGATATGCCAAAATCTGGATTCTGCATATAAAAACTACATAAAGAATGTCATTAGTAGTTCAAATGGAACATGGCAAAGTAGAATACACACGAGTAGTTCAAAGCCACTTCATCTGTCCTAGCAGCCTGTGTACACCAAGAGTGTGGCAGGTCGGCCTGGCCCCGCGCTTCGAGGCCACATGTTGTAGTAGTGAGTGTTTAGAGATAATGAACACGGCCCAAGAAAATCACATCCTCGTGGTTTCTGTTGTTTTATGCTTCTTGTTCTTTTGGGTTTTGTGAGGTTTTTTTTTTTCTTTTGCTTTGTTTTATTTTTTGGTTGTTTTGTTGTTGTTGCTTTTAGCTTGGTTTCCTTAGAAAAAGAAAGGACCCTGACATCACGCTGCTTACAAGGGAGTCCATGGAGTGCCCTCTTGAGGTCTCTGGATGCCAAGACTTTGAAGAGACCCACACACAGGGCTGAGCTTCTTAGGTCCCTATCCCACTTCCCGAGGGCTTAGGAAAGAACCTAGAACTGCCCGGCTTTGGCTGAAATGCAGTCTAGGATGGGAATGTTATTCTAGAGGCTTCTGTATAGAGAGAACAGCCCTGCCTGCATCCATTCTGTTTACACATTTGCTCAGCTGGCATCCTGGGGCCTGTTCTGAATCCCTCTGGGTCTCTAAAACTAAAGATGGTAGCATGGACCCTGCCTCCTGCGGCCACCAAGCTGCCCTACGGGTCATTCTCACCTAACTCCCAGCTCCCTCGCTGGTAAGGACAGCATGGTGGGTCCAGCCACATCTCTCATCATGTCACACCTTGTGCCGCATCCTTCCGCCGTCTCATCTCTGTCTAGCCCTCATGATCCTCCTACCGCAACAGCAAGGATCTGGCCCAGGCCAGCCACCCCATCATCCTCAACCTAGCCCCTCCACAGACATCCTGCCAAATGCAACAGAAGCCTACCCTTCTCTTGCATCTTTCCTGCCTCATTCCAGCCAAGCTCCAGAAAGCCCACTGCAACTAGAGCACCTTTCCTAACAAATACTTGGCAGGCACCAGGCTGGACAGTGGATGTGCTAAGTTTGCCTCCTCTGAGGGAGATGCCTGGCTTACACAAAGGAAGCAGGGTACATTGAAGAGAATTACCTCAGGGAAACAGCTGCAAGACTAGAACTTGTTGCTTTGGAGGACTAAGACTGTGACTGTTAGCTGCACTTTCGGCAGGCCTAACAGTAGCAGCTGTGACTTCTCCCTCCCTGTACCCTGCCAGGTTGACCCTGCATTGTTTATACATGCATGTGTCTGATCCCTCCTAGCATCTTACCCTTGTTTCTCTAGGGGCCTGATGGAGTATCCTGTTCCTGGTGGCCCGGATGACAGAACATGGGAAAAGGGAAGGGAAGGACGGGGCCTCAAGTTGTTCCGCCAACACAGCACTTTATCTTGCGATGAGCTTGGTTTTAGCTAGATCGGGGCTGATCTCAGTCCACTCTGATCTGGGCTTGCCCTAGAACTGGTCAGCAGCAATGTGTACCTCGCTTTAGACAAAGCACAGAGGCTGGATGGCTCTTTTGCTTCTTTCCAGAGCAGCTTCAGACATGCCATCAGCAAAAATGCCAGCTACGAGGAACTCGACTTGAGGTCCCCTGGGTCTTGGTACTCCAACCCTTGGATGGCAGCCCCAACCCTCTTTCTGGAACCTAGACATGCCATCCAACTGCTAGCCATCCTTGCTCCCTAAGCCCCTTCCAGCTCCCAGGGTCAGAAAGAGTCTGGGCCCCGGGGATGCCCTCTTACCTCCTACTTTCAGGTCTTTTTCCACTGGGGCCCACTTAGGGCCCTGGCCACAAAGAGCCTACCTCAAACCCAAAGACTGAAAAAACATTTTAATAAATACAAAAATCTCTAATAATGACTCTGCTCAGCTCAGGGGCAGCAGGAATGGTGTGAGGGAACCCTTGGCGCTGAGTGAGGATAAATTAAAAAATCCCAATAAGCCAATGGCATTATGTACAGAAGAAAAGAGTTAGGCTTCTGGGGCAGAGGCCAAAAGAGTAATGGGGCAGGAGCTAGCGTGGATATGGCCTTGGTCTGACCCAGCCGTCTTTCCCCTTGTAGAGTTGCGGTTCCCAGAGGTAGTAGGGGAGGAGAAGAAGCAGAACAGAGGCGTTAAAGGCACTGGGCTTCCCACAGGAGAGTCAAGGTCCTCAGCACCGCTCCTTCTCCCAGCTCGGGCCCATCCTCTTGGTCATGTGGCCTTCTGGACACACTCCCTAGGAGCTTTCAGCTTCTTTGTCCAGCTCTGGAAGGGTTCTAGTCTCAGAGGCTGCTGAAAACAGAAGGGAGTGAATATTGAAGGAGAGGAAGAGCAGGGTGGTCTGGAGGAAGGCATGGGGACCCGTGAGAACATTTCTGCTCCAGTCCCAGAGAAGCCCAAATTGTCTGAGCGCGTCAGCACACATTGCCTGCCTGAGCGGTGTATAGTGCTCAATTGCCCTGACCTTCAGAAATCTCACTTGTAAGAAAATGGCAATAAGTGGCAAGCCTGGAGGGGTGGGCTGGGCAGTTCCCCTCTCCGCGGGGGCACCCTTCCCTCCCGGGTATCATAGTTCCAGCCCACAGCAGCTGCCCAGCTTCCTTCACTTACTCCTTTGGGCTGTGCAGTGGGAACAGCATCGACTCTCCTTCCCTGAGCCGCAGGACAGTGGCAAGGAACAATCGTCCCGCTCACAATGGGGTACCCCTGCCTGGTGCAGGATGGAGAGATACTGAGGTTCCCCACAGGACACTATAGTCTTCAGCCTCTTCCTGAAAAGCCAGCTCCAGGAATCTCCCTGAGAAGGTTTCCCTGCTCCAGGCCAAGTATACACCGCCCAACTCCTGCAAGTCCCCCACTTACCCCACATCTGCAGGTAATACAGCTCATCTCCCCAAAGGGGGGTACTGATGGGTGCCAGCTCTGATTCTCTGGGAACCACTGTCCAGCAAAGCGACACCCCCGAGGCCCATCAGCCTGCATGGGGTCTCCCACCTTGGCCTGGGACCCTGACCCTACTGCTGGGAAAGAAAAGACAAAGTCGGTCCAGAAGGGTCAACTAACTTTAACTTCTCTTTGAATTCCTATCAACTAATAGTTTCTGGTACTTGTTAGGTGATAAATTTGGATGGATGGATGGATGGATGGGAGATAGATGAGTGAATAGATGGATGAATTACAGAAGGTGTGGATAGATGATGATGGATGGATGGATGGCAGGTAGCTGGGTAGATGGCTGGCTGGGTAGGTGGATGGATGGATGAATGGATAGACAGATAGGTGGTGGGTGGCTGGATAGATGGTGAGGTAGGTATATGGATGCATGGATGGATGGATGGATGGATGGATGGATGGACTGACGGATGGGCTGACGGATGGGCTGACGGATGGGTAGACAGGTGGTGGCTGGCTGGCTGGATGAATGGGTAGGTAGATGGATGGATGGGTGAATGGATGGGCTGACGGATGGCCTGACGGATGGGTAGACAGATAGGTGGTGGCTGGCTGGCTGGATGAATGGGTAGGTAGATGGCTGGCTAAGGCAATAGAACCGGAGCCCCATCACCTCACTCTACATGCATGCACATTCTCTCCACTGTTTTTTGGTCCAGGGTAGGCATAAGCAGGGCTCAGTAAATGAGAAGCTCCTCTCCTGTCCCCATGTCACACCCCCAAACACAGGTCAGATGAGGCCTCAGTTCCCAAGCCTCTCACCTGGACACTGTTTGCAGCAGTCAGTGGGGTTGGCACGGACTGGCTGAGCACAGGCCAAGCGAGGGCACTGCACCTTCTCACAGTGCACTTCTCCAGTGGCCCCCTGTAGGCATCCATTGAGAAAGCGTGTCAGGAAGAGAGAGTCATAACCCTTCTCTCTCCTTTCCCCACCTCAAGTGAAATGTATGTGCAGGCTTTTACTCGAAAGCCTGAGCCTGCCTTATATACCTGAATTCAAATCCTCACTGTATCTCATGAGATAGTAATGTGCCATATTTGTCTGCAGGAGAGGAAAGGCGAGCTTGGGGAAATTCAGGAAGCACTAAGGGGCACCTGAAACCCGCCAGCTGGCACAGTCAAAACGTGTACCTGTCAGTTTTTACCCTCTCCTACAGGACATCTGCTCTCAAAACCCAAGGGAAGCCAGACAGTGGTGGCGCACGCCTTTAATCCCAGCACTCGGGAGGCAGAGGCAAGTGGATCTCTGTGAGTTCAAGGCCAGCCTGGTCTACAAGAGCTAGCTCCAGGACAGCTAGAGATGTTACACAGAGAAACCCTGTCTTGAAAAACCAGGAAAAAAAAAATCCAAGGGACCATTCATCAAAATACATCCTGAGTCCCCCAGTCCATCAAAGATGGGCTTTACTTACTCTCTAGGCAGCCCCTCCCTGTATCTGCAGACCCAGCTGGGCTACCAGAGAAGACTATGTATCCATACCTTGCAGGTGCAGACAGCACACTTAATTAAGCCAAAGGGGGGCACAACGGGGTGCCACCGGGTACCCGCTGCCCTCCAGCTCCGGTCACCATCAAAATAGCAGCCTGGTGGGGAAGAGTACCCAGCTGCCATTAGTACTGACCTTGTCAACTGGGCCCACAACCAAGCCTCAGGCCAGTCCCACACCAGCCTAGGCAAGAGCCAGTGAATACTACTGTCGACTGCCAGGTGTGCTTAGAACCTGCGGCCTCAGCTTCCTCCAGACACATACACTCCGTTGCGCCCTTGCCCTAACCCAAGGGCTTCTTTGGATCTTCTCAGCCCCGGACCCAGCTCACCCTCTCCTGGCTCCAAGTTTGGTAGCCCAGGAAAATCTCTGCTGCGTTGTTTCTCTGTGGAGACAAAGAAAGGGTGAGGCAGAGTGGCCCCTGCTTCCCACCCTTGAAAACACTCCTCTCCCATGGACGATTCTCCACTACCTTTCTTCCCCTTCAGGACATTCACCTGGACACACGGGACAGCACTGGTCCAGTGCCTGCACCGGGTGGGGGCAGCTTAGTGGTGGGCACACTACAGGATCGCAGATCACTGTCCGTCTCTGTGGAGAGGGACCAAGGCTTTGAAGATGCGCTGGGCCCCGGTGCCCCAGATCCTGTGGCCATCTGTGCCCTACCCAGACATCCTACCTGGCAGGTGCAGAGTGAACAGAGTGGGTCGTAGTTGGGTGACCAGCGAGCCCCGTGGGGACGCTGCTGCCCCTCGAAGAAGCATGTGTTAGGGTCTCGGGGCCTCCCGGGACTGCCGTGTTTGGCTGGTACTGAGGCTTCAGGCCCAGGTCCAGCAGGCAACACAGGCAAGGCAGCTGCCTCTCCATTTGGAGCCACTGGTAACCGCGCTCCTTCTGAGGCCAGGCGCAGACCTGCCACCTCACACTGGCTGTCGATGTGCACCTGCGAAGAGAGAGGGACCCTGAGGTTGGGCTGCACCCCCCCCCCCCAAACACATCTGTAACCATCGCTGCTGGTGGTGGACAGGCACGCCCAGGCAGAGACCATTCACTTTAGTACGCATCCCAGCTGCGAAGCCAGGGTGGTGGGCTGACAACCTCCTTAGGCACCTGTGTGGCTCTGTGCTTCTCGTTAGCAAGAATCTAATGCTACCACCTTAGGGGTCAGAGAGCAAAAGCAACTGCACTATCCCCACATACCTGCCCGCGTAGTTCCCCTCTGGGGCTACTCTTGGTGGTGATCAACAGAGAGGCAGTGCCCTGCGTCAGGTGCCGCAGCAACACGGGCTCCAGGTCTTTGACCACACCCTGAGCCTGCAGACAGACCAAGTGAGGAGCAGGAACAAAGCATTTGAGGGGTTTCTATCATTTCATTTCACGCCTATGTGGTTTTGGGCCTGGTACCCACAGAGGCCAGAAGAGGGCGTTGGATTCCCTACAGCCCAAGTGACAGATGGTTGTGAGCTACCTTGTGGGTGCTGGGAACTGAAACTGGGTCCTCTGGAAGAGCAGCCACCCCACTGAGCCACCTCTTTAACCCCACAAGGCATTTGACAAAGCCTACTGTCCCCAGTTTGCAGGTGGAGAAACAGAGGCAAGGATTAAGGTCTCTAAGATGGAGGCCAGGTCTCTCTGACTCCAAGTCTACAGCAGCCCACACCACTTCAGGGGCGTGGTCCATCCCACCTACTCCTTTAGAGACTCAGGACCTCTATCCTAGGGACCATTTGGGACAGAGGACACAGAGAAGAAGATGTATACATAACAAAGACTGAGTCCCATTTCTACCTCAGCCCAACTGACACCTCAGACCATGCCCACTCTATACCAGACCGCCTGCCCACTCTATACCAGGCCGCCTGCCCTCTCCGCCTCAACCATAAGCCCAAGCAGCCCTTCAAGCTAAAGAGCAGAAAATATCCAAGCTTCTCCCTCTCTCTATGTCCTTACCTCTGAGCCATAGAATCCCTTCAGTAGCCGCTGGGGCCCTGGCACCCCAGGAGGCCCGAGGAGGTGGGCACTGACAGTGCCTTGCTCTGAGCCACCAAGCCCAGCTAGTAGCACTTCATAGTGTAAGTGGCAATGCGTATCCAGGGAGAGCCAGGCATGCCCTGCTGCCTGACTTCGCACCGGGGGTGACACTAGGGCCCCTGCCAGAGGCACAGGCAATCCTGAATCCAAACAGATGAGAGATGACAGGTGAGGAGAGCGAGCTCTCACTCAGCATACCCCATCACAGACCCTGGGGCCTGGAAGGCACTGTCCATAAACCACAGCAAGTCTTAGATTCCGTGTACGATGACCACAGGGAGGGTTGGCCAGTGGCAGCAGGCAGAGGAGGCCTCATGAGGCTCTGGCTCCCTGGCACTATCCCTCAGATGCTTGGTGACAGGTCAGAGGATACGGAAGGGCAGGTGGACCCAGAAACACTCACTGTCATAGTGGGCACTGTGCCCGCTGTAGGGCAGGGCCGTCACATGTCCCCGAAGCTCTCCATCTGGGAAGTCCTTGGTGCCAATATTCAGGAACAGCTCATTCTGGAGCAGCATGTGAGCCCCTCGGGCACCCAGGTCAGAGCAGATACCCACAGCCTAGGGGTCAAAGAAGGATGAGCCCTCTCAGCTTTCAGATTCCAAGGCCTTTCTGTGTTTTGTGCCTCCACGGCACGCATATATCCTTCCTCATGCCAACAATGCCGGACAAGAACCTCGCAGGTCAAGTTTCAAGGCCCTCCTCTGCCACTTCCTAGGCACACAACAACCCTTGAAGAGCTACTTAGCATTTAGTCCTTACTTCCTCATCTATGGAAGGGTACTGTGGGTCAAAAACTACATAAACAAAGCAACCAGTGCAACGCCCGACACAAAAGACTCCAGAGTAGCACCCCACCTATGGCACTGTCTCCCTGCCTGGTGTCTTCCAGTTAACTGGGAGCTTGCTGAGGATGCGGGCAGGGTCCCAGCCTAAGCTTTGCTAGAATGTGTCAAATGAATAAGGACCCATTGAGAGAGCCCATGAGTGCATGAACAACACTGCACACCCCTATTCAACCAACCTGGCTTCCCGCAGCCCATGTATTGGCAGCCCTGGCACAACTCTGCCTGGGGCCCTCACCATGTGTCCTCCCAGCTGGAGTCCAGCCATGTGGCACAGGACAGTGCGCTGGTTCTTCTGCTGAGGCTTGGTCTCGAGTGTCATGGCCACCACCTCGCTACCTGTACCTACCACTTGCACCTGGTGGGCAGGGTTGGGGGAAGGCAAATGGATTGCCAGCCAAGACCTAGGGCCTTTCCCGCTGCTGGTCAAGGCTCTGCCCCGCTGCCCTCCATACCTCCTACAGCTTCTGACTCTTACCTGATAGATCAGGGAGCCATTTCCTAGCAGAATGAAGCTGGCTGAGCCAGCAGCACCCGTCTGGACTGGGACCAGGGCGTCAGCCCCACAAAGGACGCTTTGAAGGACTGCAGGGGGCAAGACAGGTGGCAGCAAACTCGTCCACGCCCAGAGCCCCCAGGAACTCTCCCCCACATCTACTTTGGCCTCTCCTTTAGCACGAGTTTGTGCTTCTGAGTTGTGTGTGCCCACAATGCCAAGCCCCACCCCGCCTCACCATCGCAGCTCCGCCTGGTAGTAATGTATCCACTGATGCGTAGCTCTGGCCCACCTGCCCTCTCTAGGACCATCTGCAACTCCCCCCGCACTAGCCAGTCCATCTCTTGCTCTGTAAGGCTGGGCAGCACCTCAGCAAAACCTGGCTCCTGAGAACAGAGTGGAACGTGGTGGGCAACAGCCAGCCAGAGGCCAGGGCAAGCAGCAGCAAGAGTCAGGCCTTCCCTTACCTGTGCTGAGGTGTTGGCCTGGAGCTCTCGGAGTGGCTGTCCCTGGTGGAGAATCTGAAGCTTCAGGGGAACCTGAGCTGGTCCTGCCAGGGCTGCACACGTGAGCATTTCTGAGAGACGAACACCCTCCCTATACTTTCATGCACATCTTCTCCACTGCTTACCTCCATCCCTGGGTCCTAGCAGACCCCGGAAGAGTAGCAAAAAATGTAAGGAGTCTTCCGTGTCACTGAGAGTGAGCAGGGCTATGCCCCCCACACCCCGAGGCTGTGGGTCTTCCAGCATCAGGATGGCACTGAAGGTCTCTGAGGAATGGAGGATCAGAACAGCCATCAGAAAATCCTCTCTTGAGCCCACCTGCCCTGATAGAGAAGGCATAGCCCTTTATATCTGAGATCTGCCCATTCTCCCTACCTGCAGCCAGAGCCCCTTGCCAAATGAGAGGCCCCCAGACTTCTCCTGAAGGATGAGTGGCTGTCACAAGAGCTACATGCAGCTGTTCTGCCCTCAGGAGCCTCAGAGATAGTCGAGGCACTGCCCGCCACACCCCACAAACCTAGAGCAAAGAGACAAGAAAGTCTAGAGTCACTCTACAGGACAAGGCAGCTAGGAGACCCATTCCTGATGAGGGAGGATTATGGAAGGGAGACCCCAGACCCTCCTAAGAAGGACCCAGGATCTTTGATTTTAAGTCCTGGCTTACCACTTCCTAGCCAAATGACCTTGAACAAACCACATTCTGCTATTCTGAGCCTCAGTTCCCTCCTCTGTAAAATGGGCATCATAATGTCAGGGCCTTCCTCCCACTGGGCTGTTGTGAGAACCAAAGGAGGCAATGCAAAGCATGCTCTTGGCAAGTGCCCATTTTGGATAAGCACTCATAAATGGCATCATCTCACCAGGCCATCCTGGGTCGGGGCAGCAGGGTGTTCAAACAGGATGTTGCCTGTGGGATCTGTGAACCGAACCCTGCTGGGGCGGTCCAGCCTGTGAAGAAAGGTCCAGTGAGACTGGATCCCGAACCTACAGGTTCCCTTTCCTGCCCCCATTAAAGGCTCCAAGCCGCTGCTCTTTCCCTGGTCTCACCGCTGGTAGGAGATAGAGAAGCGAAGACTTGAGCGCTGCAGAGAGACCCGAGCGCGAGCTACCGCCTGCGACCTCGGTCCTGTCAGCAGCGCCACAAAGTCTGTGAGAAGAAGAGAAGATGGCCTGAGTACAGTCAAACCCTGCCGCTGGCCCCAGACTTCGTCAGGTCCACCTCCACCCCAACCTACCCGTGTGGCCATCAGCACGTGTCCGCTCTCCAGCACCGGGTTCCCCTCGATCGCTGTAACTGCGGTGCTCTGGGTCCCTTGGATACTCGAAGACTAGGCCAGCTGGCTGGCGATCTTGAGTGCTGCTCTCTGTGCCGGGAGTAAGGAGTAAGACCACTCGCTTCACCAGGGTACCAGGAGGACCAGTCCTCTTCGGCGATTCAAGCCCTACAGAACCTAATGTTGAGCCCTCCACCCTCCCTAACACGGGGCACAGCGGGCCTCACCCTGCGGGCAGGTCTGGCAGCAGTGTCCTGGCAGCTGGCGCGGCTGCCTGCAGGCCAGGGTGGGGCACTGGGGTTTGATGTTCTTGCAGCTGACCCTGCCAGGGCCCCTCCCACGGCGAGCCCACTGAGGCTGATGGCAGAGAACACAGGGAAATTAAGTGAGTGTACCGTGCAACCATCAGACGCCAGGATAACATCCTCTGCTGGAATCAGTCAACTCTGCTATTTACAAGTTACATGGCCCTGGACAAGTTTCTTAACTGCTCTGAGCCTTGACGTCTCTGTCTGCAAAGTAAGGCTAATAATGGCATTTATCTAGCAAGGTTGTAATGGGAGGGGGGAAGTTGGCTAAAAGCCAGTCACATAGTGAGCGATCAATAACTGTCAACACCGCAGACTTGAAAGGGTTTCCCCGGATTTGAGGACCAGCCTTCCCCTGAGCATCTCTACGGCTTAGGACGCCAGCGTTCCGCTACCCTCTAGGGTAGGACGGGCAGCTGCGGTATCCACTCACCGCTTCACAGGCGCACAGTACGCAGCGCATCACCCCAAAAGGCTCCCCCAGGTCCGGGTGCCACGTCTCGTCCAAGGCATAGACCTTCCCGCCGAAGGAGCAGCCTGTGGGGACGGGCTTGGCTGGCGGCCGCTGTCCGGTTGCTCGTGCCGTAATGCCTGCTCCGGGTTCTGCCCGCCAGGCCCTGGGTCCCTTGGCACCGTGCGCCCTGCCGCCTCTGCTTACCCCTCCCGCCCTCCCGCTACGCCAAGCCACCTGCGCCCGGGGCCCTCTCCCGGTGGGTGCAGACTTGCCCCGAGCCAGACTCCCCGCCCGCGCCTCCCCCTGGCGCCCACCTACCTGCCGCTCCCCGAACAGGCAGCGGCTCCTTCTCGGAACGGATGGGCAGCGCAGGGGGCTCCGGGCCAGTGCCACCGGCCGGCCGCGAGCCGAGGAGCAGCAGCCCGAGGAGCAGCCGCGGGGCCGGCGGGGCCGGGAGGCTCGGCATGACGCGGAGCGGACAGCTGGGGAGGCGGGCGGGAGGAGGGAGCAGGAGAGGGAGTAGGGCAGGACCAGAGGCGGGCCAGCGGGAGGGGGCCGGGGCCAGGAGGGGGGCAGTGGCGAGGGGCTCGTCTCGCAGTCGCCGAGTCCGCTCCCAGTCGGGCGGGGCGGGAGAGCGCGGGCGGCTGGGCGCTGACCCGGGCCGTACGCCGCTCTAGTGCCCTAGGCGCCGACTCCGGCCCGTTTTATGCCCGCGCCAGGAGTCCCGGCCCCGGGCCTCCTCCTAAGCAAACGGGGCGCGGCGGCGGCTCCGCAAGGAGCCCGGCTGAGCCCGGGGGGTCCGGCCCAGCAGCAGCGGCCGGCTCGCGAGTGGGGGAGGGGGACAGGCTGGGACCCGGCAGGGGAGGAGGGAGGGACTGGAGGAGGGGGGAGCGGAGTGGGCAGGGGGAAGGGAGGAACCAGGGGGCGCAAAGAGGGGGAGGAGAGGCGAGCTTCGACACCCCCACACACACTCCTTGCGGCCACCCCTGTGGCCGGACCAGGAGATGATGTCCATCCCAAGACCGGAGCCTCGACTAGTGAAAGGGCAGACGCTGGGCCTCCGGCCTGTGCCAGTCATGGGCAGGATGGGCCGCTGGAGGATGAGGACTTGTCTTGGAAAAGGACAATGATCTTCCCCTGCCTAAGACCCACGGCACCCTTCTCCTTTCTTCACTCTGGCTATATTCCTAGTTGTCTTCTAGGGTCTTTCTGGAGTTCCCAGGGACAGGGACCAAGTAAGAATCAAAAAGTCCTCCCTACACCCAACGGAGTAATAACCTCCGCCTTATAACCTGTTCACAAGTCCATCCAACCATCACCTGGCTTTCTCACCCTTTCTCTTTATCCAAGGGACCACCCTCTCCCTCTCCAGTTCATCCCCCAACCTCCTTTGTCCGGCTTCTCTAGTCCTGCCTCCCCATCTCCTCCACCCCCATTCTTCCCACTATTCCCAGCACCAGGCTTCCTAATCTTAGGAGGCATCTCTTCTTATTGAACTAGAGAATTCCGGGATCTGGGCCATACTCCTGAGTGGACAGCCCATCCTCAGCGAAGGCACAGGAGAAAGGCCGAGGAAGAACAAGGGGGAGAGCGTAAGGTCAGGCCAGGAGACCCCTGAGGACAGGGACTGTGGGGAGACAGGGACTGAGGAGAAAGCACGGGAGCTAGGGCCAGGGCCAAAGGAAGAAAGAGAGGAGCCAGCAGAGAGTTATTGTGGGGGAGGCTCAGCAGCTGTCTTCCCCAAGACAGGGACAGATGGGGCTGGTTATTTCTCTTGTCACATGTATAGTGGTAGGAATGGAAGAGGGCCATTGGGCAATCAAGGGCAGGCCTGTACACAGCACTGTGTTTAGATAGCCAGGTTCCTGTTCCCCCAGTAGAAAGAAAGGCACCTGAGTCCAGTCAATCTGTCTGTTTTTCTTTCTTTTTTAGACAGATTCTCAGTATGTAGCCATGGCTGGCTTGGAACTCACTAGGTAAAACAGGTTAACCTCAAACTCATAGAGCTCCACCTGCCTCTGCCTCCCAAGTGCTGGGATTAAAGGTGTGCTTTGGGCCCAGTCTTAACAAACACATACCCTTTCCCTGCCCAGCTCCTTCAAACTGCCCATAGCCTCTTTCCTATAACATGATCATTCTCTAACACAGGCAACACATAAATTGCCAGTTGAGAAATACCAAGAAAGCTAAGGTGCTGTTGGATTTCAAGAGCAGGTATAGCATTCAGGGAAAAGAAATTTGGAACTGAGACTCCATCAATCTAAAACAAGACCGCTCTTTCCCATGGACAGATGTATTCTGCCAGATTGCTCCTGGACTAAACCCTCTCCTCTCTCCTTCATCCAGATCCCAAGGTTCCAGGTTCCCTAGGACATGAGACAGCTCCCCCTATGTAAATCCTCACTGGAGTGTGTGTGGGTAGAGGAGCTGGGCTCAATTCATGGACCATGGTCCAGGCAGGGGCTCCAGGTCCAGTAGGTAGGAAAAGAACTCGTCATTTCCGGGGGCCTTCACCAGGGTTTGGTGGCTCACGGCTTTCTGATTGGGTGGAAGTGGCCTGGGCAGGCTTGTGACCCTACTGCAGAGGAGGGGCTGTGCCCCAGCGAGTGTCTTCCTACCTACCTGCTCCCCAGAGTGCTGCCTGCTGTGCACCTTGGTCCTGGAGCCCTTCTCCACCCGGTGAGTGACAAGCACAGTTTGGGGTTAAGTGAGGGAATGGTATGAAGAACAAAAAAGAACTGGGCTCTTAGCTGGGGGAGGGGCAGGCAAACTGGAACCTACAGGCACTGACCTTTGTCAAGAAGAGTGGAGCCTTCCCAGAATGGGAGGAGCAGGACAGAGCAGGGAAAGGGGGTTGGGTACTGGTTTATGAGGGACTATTCACAGACTTGGTCGAATTCAGAATAGTCCTGGCTGCCTCAGGTCCATGAGAAAATAAGAAAGGAAGTGTGTGTCGAGCTAGAGAACTTGGCACTAAGGGACATAATCCTAATCCCCATTCTCATATGGTCATTCAAGATAGCTTAAGGTTCTGAATCCTGAGACTGGGAAAGCTGGGTCAGGTGAGCCAAGGCACAAGAAGAGGGTAATGGGAGGAGGGCTTGCATGTGTTGACAGACCTACAGGAGATCCCAATATTGAATCAGGTGCAGGCCTCTTTGCTCAACTTGTGAATAGTGGGGGGTCCTAGGAAGGGACTGGAAGGGACCTGGAGGGGGCGGGGAGGCAGGTGCAGCTGAGATGGATGCATTGGCAAGTGTCTAAGGTGAGATAAGCCATGCGGGGTAGGTGGCATTTTGCTCTCCGTGTCTCATCCTGGGCCACTTGCCTCCGGAAGTTCTAGTACTGTTAGCCCTTTGATTTGAATAGCCGGGCATTTCAGAACTTGGAAGTCCAAACAAGAGTCCCAGGTTTTATTTGTGGGGTGACCAGGGAAAGAAGGAGAAACTAGTGTCTCTTCTTAATTCCTGCTTCTGGTGGTCCGTTATATGTTTATCCACTCCCCTGCCTCAGCCCCACTTCCAACACTATGGCTGTCCTTCAACACACGTACTCAGCTGCCACTTCCTCTTTTTAGCTGATAACCCATTTTTTTTACTCTTCCCCAGATTTACACAACACTTCCGTTCTTTATTCCCATCCCACATTCTCACCCACTAACAACCAGTGTTGCACAGAATTTGAGCCCAACTGAGATATGTGTGTAGCCAGGAGGTGGTGGCACATGCCTTTAATCCCAGCACTCGGGAAGCAGAGACAGGCGGATCTCTGTGAGTTCCAGGACAAACTCTCCAAAACTGCAGAGAAACCCTGTCTCAAACACAACAAACAAACAAGATGTGTGTGTATATGTCATGCCTTGCTGTACTCAGCAGGGCAACAATTGGCAGACAGGGAAGCAAAACCATATCCGAGTCACCAAAGAGCCCTCACAAAGAGGAGATACTATATGCTTCAGTCACAAGAAAACATGGGAGCAGATGGAGCTCTAACAGCTCTGGTCCTGGCCAGCCAGAAGCTCCAAGCATGTGTTTCCCCATGCCAAGCAGTCTTTTGAAACTTGGAAGATTCACTCTCTCTGTCATTTTCAGGATAGCTTCCTTGGCCCACCTGTGCCCCACACCACTCTGCACAAACGTATAAGAGCTCAAGCCGCCTCCATGGCCCCAGGAAAGAGTCAGGGGAGAGGCCCCATCCAGGGAGCCACACCTGCCAGACACCCTAGCCAGAATGGAGCTGACTGGTAAGAAAACACTCGGGGAGCTAGGAACAAGTTCAAGAATGGCTTGGTGCGGTAAGAGGTGGGGATGATGCTACAGAAGCAGAGGGCCGGAAAGCCCAGGCTCCCAAGAAAAGGGTTTTGTCTGGACAGCAGACCCCTAGGTTTCAAATAGGAATCCCTGAGTCACCACCTAAGAGTGATTGTCTCTTTACGGACCCTTCAACTTCACTTCTCCTTGTCTAAGATTTGCTCCTGGTGGCCATGCTTCTCCTTACTGCAAGAATAACTCTGTCCAGCCCAGCTCCTCCTGCCTGTGACCCCCGACTCCTAAATAAACTGCTTCGTGACTCCCATCTCCTTCACAGCCGACTGGTGAGCATCCCAAGCACTAGGCCTCCTCTCCACCTAACTGATAAGGTACTCACTCTTTCACATCCTCTCACTCCAGTACTGTCTTTGGCAAGGCCACAATGTCCTGGTCCCTCCCTTAAAGGCTCTAGGATGGGAATGGTACCAAGGGAGAGCACCTCCATCACAGGCCACCATCCTGCTCTCTGTTTCAGCTCCTTTCCTCCCTACCCATCTTTCTTCACAGAGTCAGTGCCCTGACATCAACCCTCTGTCTACACCTGTCCTGCTGCCTGCTGTGGACTTCAGCCTGGGAGAATGGAAAACCCAGACGGTAAGAGCATCCTTGACGGCTTCCCTCAGCCTAAGGCCAGCCTCGGAGGTACTGAGTCCAGGCCAGCCTCGGCTACAGACTGAGGCTCCCATCTCAAAAAAAAAAAAGACAAAAAGGGGGGATGGGAGAGAAATCTCATCAGATCCCTACTATTCCCAACAGTAGTTTTTGTTTTTAATCTATATAGGTGTTTTGCCTGCATGCTAGGAATTGAACCTGGGTCATCTGGAAGCAGCAAGTGCTCTGAACTACTGATCCCTCTCTCTCTAGCCTCCTAAAATTCTTGAGTTCCCGAAAAGTCTCACCTTCAACTTGGGCACCTTAACCCAATTTACAGTCACCAGTGACGAGATCTTGAGGAAATGAGGACAAATTTCCGACCAATATATCAAAGATTCTTGGCTGGTGGCTCATGCCTTTAATCTCAGCACTCAGGAAACAGTGACAAACAGATCTTCTCTAACCTTTGACCTATTCTTATTGTTGTTCAATATGATGATCATTTCGTTTTTCAAGACAGGGTTTTTCTGTAGCTTTGGAGCCTGTCCTGGAACTAGCTCTGTAGACCAGGCTAGCCTCTAACTCACAGAGATCCGCCTGCCTCTGCCTCCCAAGTGCTGGGATTAAAGACATGTACCACTAGTGCCCGGCTTCAATCTTTTTGTTGTTTTGTTTTGCTTTTGAGACAAAATTTCTCTGTAGCTTTGGAGCCCATCCTGGAACTAACTCTTGTAGACCAGGCTGGCCTTGAACTCACAGAGATCAGCCTGCCTCCACCTCCCAAGTGCTGGGATTAAAGGCCCCACCACCAACAGGCTTTCAATCTAATTTTTTTAAACCCATTTATTTATAAATATGGTGGGGTCATGCCATGGTGTATATATGGGGGTCAGAGGACAAGACTGATTCTCTCCTTCTACTGTGTAAGTCCCAGAGACTGAAGTCAGGTCATCAACCTTGGCCACAAGCATCCTTACTCTCTGAGCCATTTCGATGGTGCCACAATCTTCTTAGTTGGCATGAAGGAAGTCTGAGCTACTGTCCACAGGTGACAGAAAGCAGAAAGTATCACTAAAATATAGGCAAAATCAAGATTTAAACCCTTTGCTGGGCATGGCGATACAAACTAGAAATCCCAGCAGCTCGGAAGGTGGGGTAGAAGGATGAGCGGCAGGATAGCTTAGGCTATACAGTGAGGCCTTGTCTCAAGAAAAAAAAAAAAAAAAGCAAAATCAAGCCAGGTGGCACATGCCTATACTCCGAAGAATGTGCTTCCTGGTCTGGAGAAGGATGATGGCACTACGGACCCCAGCTCTAGCTCTGTGTTCGTGACAGGGTCTCACTATGTATTCCGGGCTGGCCCTGAACTTGGAAGCCTCCTGTGTCAGCACCCCTTAAGTGCTAGGATTACAGGCATGTGGCATCAGACCCAGCTCTGCCATTTGTTAAGTCCCTTCCCGTCCTCTTCGTGGTTACTGGGACAGTCCTGTTGCTACGTTTAGCTTAGAAATGGCACAGCAATTCTGTAGCAGAAAGAACAGACTTGCAGCGCTGCAGCCTAGAGCTAAAAGCTGCACGCAGGTAGGGTGGCTTTCTGACCAGAAGTCCACGCAAGACCAGGCTAGGTTGATGGATACCGGAGTTACTGAAGCAGAGGCCAATGGCCAGTTGTTAGGAGACTGCAAAGGAATTCCTGTGATGGGTGGGACCCTCATCCTGTCCAATTCCCAGCTCCTATGATTCATCCCGCTGGCTACTCCATGGGCTCCCCACCCATTATTAGCACGTTTCTGAAACAGACCACTTCTCCTGTTTCCCAGGCACAGACCAAGGCTCAGGACATTCTAGGAGCAGCTACCCTTCTCCTGGAGGGGGTGATGGCAGCACGAGGACAGCTGGAACCCTCCTGCCTCTCCTCCCTCCTGGGACAGCTTTCCGGGCAGGTTCGCCTCCTCTTGGGGGCCCTGCAGGGCCTCCTAGGGACCCAGGTAAGTCTGTGGGCAAGAGACCTCTAAAAACCACCGTTACTAGTTACTAGTCCCTCTAAAGACTTGGGGGAGACAAGGGATTCTGGGTACCTTCAGTGTAAAAAGGCAGGCCTATAAGGAGTGCTGCCTCCCAAACATAACACCTGGCTGCTGGCAATGACCTTTTCCTCCTTAGTCAAGAGAGGCCTGGTACGTGGGCCTGCTCTCTGGCCTCAGGCCCATCCTCTGCCCTCAGCTTCCCCCACAGGGCAGGACCACAGCTCACAAGGATCCCAAAGCCATCTTCGTGAGCTTGCACCAACTGCTGAGAGGAAAGGTGCGCTTCCTGCTGCTAGTAGAAGGTCCCACCCTCTGCATCAGGCGGGCCCTGCCCAACACAGCTGTCCCGAGCAGGACCTCCCAACTCCTCACACTACACAAGCTCCCAAACAGGACTTCTGGATGGCTAGAGTCGAACTTCAGTATTGTCGCTGGAACTCCAGGCCCTGGGCGTCTGAACAGGGTTCAAGGACTTGCGACCAAGGTTATCCCTGGTCAGCTGAATCAAACCTCCTGGTTCCCAGACCAAATCCCTGGATACCTGAACAAGACACACAAACCTGGGAATGGAACTCATGGGCTCTTTGGCGCAGCCTCACTTCAGACCCTGGACACCTCAGTTCTGCCAGGAGCTTTGAACAAAGGCTCCCTGCCACCCAACCTCCAAAGTGGATATCCCCCTTCTTCTACCCATGCTCCTGATGGACACACACTCTTCTCTCCTTCACCCACCTTGCCCACCCATAGGTCTCCACCCCAGTTCCACCCCCTGCTTCCTGATCCCTCCACCACTGTGCCTACCTCTGCCAGCCCGCGTCCAGTTGCAGCGTCCCCCCACTCCCAGAATTTGCCTCAGGAAGCGTAAGGGACACAGGCGCAGCCAGTATCTGCAGTGTCTCTTAGACACAAGCCTTCCCCAGGAGAGGCAGCTGCAGCTGCACTAGACGTCCTGCTTTCCCTGAAACCCAAAGCCCTGGGAAAGGGCTTCACGGGACAGGCGATCATAAAATTTCAGGAACTATTTTTTTAACCTATCAACAATATTCAGAGCAGCTAGTTATCTTTGGTCTATTTTCTGTATAAATTTGAAAATCACTAATTCTCTCTATGTGTTTTCTACAAAGGCCCAGACAGGTCAAGCCTTAGAGGTAGATATTAACATTGTATCAGAAAACAAAAAGGTCATTTCCTTTACTCCCACCCCATGCCCTCATTCAGTTCTGTCTCAGTGAGACTGGTCCTCTTGATATAGGAATAACAAGTTACCTCTTAGACAGACACCCCTATTTAGAGATAAAACTGAGCCTGTAGGAGAATAAATGAGAGCATCCAAGAGCCAACTAAAAATCAAGGGAGCAATATTCTTCTCCGGGGCAACAGATTTCCTGGACCCTGCCTCCCAGGAAAGCTAACAGGAAGCCTGGGGAACCCCATTCCCCAGGTAAGGCTGTGCAAATGGTTCAGTAAAGACTAGACCAGGACGTGGCAGCTGAGCAAACAGCTAAGTGCAGCAGCAGCTCAGCAGGAGCCTAGCCAGGCCTGGGCTCCTGCTTCCCTCCTGTGGAGGTCAGGCGGAAGTGCAGGAAGTGGCAAGAGCAAGGCTCCGTAGCTCACACAGCAGGATAAGCAGAGCAGCTAAGGCTCTTTCTACTTCCCACAAATGCATCTAAAAAGCAGCCTTGTAGCCGGGCGGTGGTGGCGCACGCCTTTAATCCCAGCACTCGGGAGGCAGAGGCAGGCGGATCTCTGTGAGTTCGAGACCAGCCTGGTCTACAAGAGCTAGTTCCAGAACAGGCTCCAAAACCACAGAGAAACCCTGTCTCGAAAAAACCAAAAAAAAAAAAAAAAAAAAAAAAAAGCAGCCTTGTGTGACCACCTTGAACTCCACTGGGAACCCCCAAAATGAAGGCAAACTTCTGGGGGTTTTGCAAGTTAAGTGCTTTGTTGGTGCTAGAAGTTTACGTTACACAAAAACAAAACTGTATTGCCGGGGTTTACCTGCTACCCCAGAGCCTGTGAGAAGGCTGGTGGGAGGGAGCGTCTTCCTCACTCCTGTCCCAGAGTACAGGAGGCTGCCATGAAGGCAGAGAAGCCAGGATACACTGCCACAGCAAAAGCAAGAGAACAGTGTTCTTCACAGAGGCAATAGGCGCCCCAGAATCTCCCCCAACAACTCTGTATGGTAGATATTAGCCATCTGTTCTACACATGAAGACACCTAGACCAGAAGGGCTTCCGATGGTCACACAGCCTTCAGGCAGAAAAAGAATACCCAGCCTGAGTCGCAGCCCTACCCAGTATAGTGGCGTCTGATGCCCTCCAGTCAGTCTATGTAATAGAGATGTTGTCCGCTCTTATGGTTTGTTTTTTTCAAAACAGGATTTCATTGTGTAGCTCTGGCTATCCTGGAACTTACTTTGTAGACCAGGCTGGCCTCAAATTCAGAGATCCATCTGCCTCTGCCTCTAGAGTGCTGGGATTAAAGGCGGGTGCCACCACCACCTAGCTGTAAATACATTCTGAAGAAGCTCTGGGAAGACCAGAGCTTGTGGTGGGGATGAAAATTCAGTCATCTCCAGGTGTCCCTGTGGGCAGAAGTCAACAAATGCATAAAGCTAAAGAATGTTATCAAAATCTCAGAGTGTCAGTTTCTAGGCAAGAGTAGATTACCGACAAATTCTAGGGTAAGTATAATTTGTAATTTGTTGTAACACTAAAGGAGGTTAAACTTAACACTTAAAAATAAATTTAGGAGGGGGCTGGAGAGATGGCTCAGTGGTTAAGAGCATTGCCTGCTCTTCCAAGGGTCCTGAGTTCAATTCCCAGCAACCACATGGTGGCTCACAACCATCTGTAATGAGGTCTGGTGCCCTCTTCTGGCTTGCAGGAAGAATATTGTATACATAATAAATAAATAATTTAAAAAAAAAATAAAATAAATTTAGGAGGACAGGCTCCAAAGCTACAGAGAAACCCTGTCTCAAAAAAACCAAAATAAATAACTAAATTTAGGGTGGGTGAGATGGCTCAGTAGGTGAAAGGGCTTAACATGCAAGCCTGACATGAGTCTGATGCCTGGAACCCATGGAAAACAAAAGCACCAACTCCCAAAGTTTCTTCCAACCTCATACATGCCATCACATGCTGATGTCCACACTTGCACATATACACCACACACAAATAACCAGAGTTAAAAGGCAAGAAGACATGGATGTGATGGTACACGTCTGTAAACTCAATACAGGAGGATCAGGAGTTTAAGGACTCTGAGTACAACACAGACTACAAAAGACTGTCTCAAAAATTAATTTTCAGCCGGGCGGTGGTGGTGCACGCCTTTAATCAAGGCCAGCCTGGTCTACAAGAGCTAGTTCCAGGACAGGCACCAAAAACTACAGAGAAACCCTGTCTCGAAAATAAACAAAAAAAAATTAATTTTCACGGCAGGGACATAGCTTAGTGATAGGGCTCTTGCCAGCACAAAGACCTGGGTTCAATTCCCAACACAATAAAACACAGAAGAGCCAGCACCCAGAACAAGATACACAGAGACCAAAACTGAGGGTTCTCAGCGGTCAGAGGACAAGTGAGAATGCTGAGCCAACATAGCTGGCGCTCCAGGCATCTGAGAAGCTGGTTTCCACAATGTGAACCAATCTGAAATCTGCCCTCTTAAGACGAACCCTGAAACAAGGTGTGTCGCTGCATGCCTGTAAGCGCTGGCACACACCTTGGGTTGAGGCAGGAGGGTCACAAGTCCAAGGTCTCAGATCAGCTGGGACTTCAGGTTCCACCTTTAAAAAAATTGTTTTACCCCTGCCTGAAGATCCAGCTCAGCGATGTGACACTTGCCTAGTAAGCCTTGGACCATCAGAACCAAAGCAGCGTCGGAACCAAATCATCACTTCTTCCCTAACACACACACAACTAAGAGATGCTGGCAAGATGGCTGAGCAGCTGAAGGTGGCCATCAAGTCTGTCCATGAGCGCAATATCTGGGAAAAGGGACTCCTCAAGGCTATCTTCCCCCTCACACACATACAAGTAAAACAAATGTTTGAAACATCTTTTTAAAAGCTTCTAAGCAAAACACATTTCTACTTAAGTCTCCCTTTTCCTTGCTGGGACAGCCTGCTTTGACATTCTACCACTATTTCTGATGAGGGCCTCCCACTGTAATCTAATCCAACACCTCAAAAGCCTGAGTCCATGGGATGATTAAAAGATTCTATTAGAGTTCATCCCAACCCCCAATGTATCACACACACCCTACTGTGGAAAGTTTAAAAAAAAGAAAAAAAACAAACCTCTTTGCTCTTCCCTGCTGAGGCCACTCATTTTCAACCCATTTCTCTAAACACTGTTTCTAACACCTCTTGTAAAGACTAAAGGAAAAGATGGGGAAGGAAACACCCCAGGCATCCCAGCAGGGTAACTAGCTCCTGTGACAAACCCAGGACATCAAGAGACAACTGGGGGTTAGAAAAAACAAAAAAAAAAAACTCAAAAACCTCAATTCAGTCCCCAGATGGTAGAAAGAGAGAGAGAGAGAGAGAGAGAGAGAGAGAGAGAGAGTCATTTAGATTCCTTTGTAGCACACAGAAGGGCTATGGATTTGAGACCCAGCATTGCATAAACCAGGTTTGGTAAAATCTAAGAAACTCAGAAGGCAGTGGCAGGAGGATCAAGTTCAAGCCCAGTCTGGGGTACATGGCAAAAGCAAAACCCTGGATGCCCCCACCCCCAATTCAGAAAAGAGTCTGAAAAAGTAAACTTTAATAAAAAAAAAAAACAAACAAACACACGGACACAACTTGAGATTCAAGCTAAGCTCTCCCCCTTGGCCTTTCACAGACAAGTGAGTTTTCCACCAAATCCAGACAAACTGAAGAGGCACCCACAGCGGACAGAGCCCAGTCCCTTTAGAAGGCGAACACGGCCAGCTTCTACTCAGGGTTGAACAACATCCACAGCTTGAGTGACGAAGCAGCAAGGCTGGTTTCCCACGAGGTTCAGAACGCCAGCTTCTTCATCAGCAGATACACTCTGGAATCCACCTCAAATCCATGTAGGTTGTTGGCATCACCCTGAAGTCTCATGAGCAGGCCCCCATAGGACACATACGCAGAGCTGAAACAAAAGGCCCTGACCCTGAGTCTGCGCTCCGGACCGGCTGTTTGTCAGCAGCTCTCCCTCCGTCTGTTTTAAGGCACTCTCCTTCCCCTAGTACTCGTCATTAGGAACCACAGGGCAGGACAGACTGAATGCAGACACAAAGCAGTGCTGTGTGCTGTTCACCCCAGTGGACTAAACACTGCTGTGCCCAGAACGGGAGTAGTCATTCACACAAATGAAGGTGTCACCACTCACTGCAGTGCCATACAGCTACTGGACTGTGGAGGCAGGGACTGGAGAGATGGCTCAGCCTTTAAAATCACTTACTGTTCTGGAAGAATGCAGAAGACCTGGATCCACTCCCCCAGCACCCACGGGACATCTTACAACCACCTCTAACTCCATTTCCAAGGTGCCCAAGGTCCCCTTCTGATCTTGGTGGTCTCATGCCTGCACATGGTACACATACAGATGTGCACACGTGCACACACAAATAAACACATACTTCTTTTGAAAATGCTAAGGAATCAGGTGGGTGGCACATATCTTTAATCCCAGCAGCAGGAGACAGTCAAGTAGGTCCCCTGAATTCAACACCAGTCCTGGTCTACATATTGAGTTCTAGGACAACCCAGGCTACATAGAGAGAACCTGCCTCAAAATAAACAAACAAACAAACAAATAAATAAAAATTTAAAAAAATTGAGGGAGAGTTTTTGATCAACAAGGGGAACTATGCTAAACAAAAGAAGAAAACACTGTAAAAGATCTTAAAGAGAAGAATAAACAAAGAAAAAAAAAGCTAGACTACTCAAACTCTTTTGTTTGTCTTTGTTTTCTCAAAACAGGGTCTCACTTATGTAGCCCTGGCTGTTCTGGTCTGTAGACCAGTCTAACCTTGATCTCACAAATCCACCTGCCTCTTCCTCCGGTGTGCTGGGATTAAACGGTGCCACCACACCAGCCAGTCAAACTCTGTACTAAAAGGTTCTCCTGGGCAACTCTGGTTCTTTTTCACATTACCTCCCTGCTTCAAGTTTCTGACAACCGTATTGTTTTAGCAGACTTTTAAAGAAAAGGAAAAAAGAAAAAAATAGGCAGGGAAACCAAGAACCAAGGGTTGAGTTACAGAGTAGCAACACATACACAAGCAAAAATAAAACCACAAAGGCCCAGTCAGTCATGAAATGCTGCCTAGTCATGAAAAGCTAGGAAGATGTCCTCTGTTGTCCCTCACAAACCACGATCGCCAAACTCTCCTGTGGACTACAGGACCCTGAAATCTTGATAACGGTGGTTAAGTAACCAACATTCAGTATGGAAATCATTCCCAAGACGAATTCTTCCACCTATTTGGGGTACTAGAAAAACATGGGCTCAGTGCGGATGTAGAAACATGGCAGTTTCAGAACAGGGACGGTGAAGGACTTTTCCAGACAAGGTTACTTACAGACGTGTTGCTGCTTCGGTTGAGGTCTCGTCCCCCTCAATCCTGTACACTTTCCCATACATTACATACTCAAACTGGTCAGCCCTACAAACAAGAGGCCAAGTTATTCTTCGTAGCAATCAGTAGCGTGAGAGACCTTAAAAAACGGAAACTGAGCCAGGCAGTGGTGGCACAGGCCTTTAATCTGAGCACTCAGGAGGCAGAGGCAGGTGGGGAGCTCTTGAATTCAAGGCCAGCCTGGTCTACAGCGCGAGTTCCAGGACAGTCAGGGCTACACAGAGAAACCCTGTCTCAAAAAAAACTAAAAAGATAAAAATAATTAAAATGGAAACTGATATCAAGAAATGCCATAGAAGCACAAGCGTATTTGGCTCTCACATCAGTTCAGTGAGCGAGACAGGACCGTCTGTATCTTATCGATGAGGAAAGAAAGGTTGAACGCCGTGGAGCTGAGAAATGAAAATTCAGTCTATAGCCATTGCTGTCCTAAATGACTCTGTAGACCAGGCTGGCCTCAAACTCACAGAGCTACTCCTGCCTTTCCCTCCTGGATTAAGTGTGTGCATCACCAGGCCAGCTACAGCAGTCTATCACACTAAGCTCCCTCCCAAAATCTAGGATACTATGTAATTATTTTCTTGGCTTTAAAAAAGCTATACCTTAAGTTGGCGTGGTGGCACGTACCTACATACCTTTAATCCCAGCAGGCGGATCTCTATGAGTTCAAGGCCAGCCTGGTCTACAAGAGCTAGTTCCAGACAGGCTCCAAAACCACAGAGAAACCCTGTCTCAAAAAAACAAAACAAAACAAAAAAACAAAAACCTACACCTGCAGGGTAGCACACACCTTTAATTCTAACACAGAAGGCAAAGGAGGTAGACAGCATCTGTGAGTTCGAGGCCACCTTGGTCTACGTAGTGTAGGCCAACCAGGACTACAGAGTGAGACCCCATCTCAAATAAATAGCTGCAGCTCCCAGCTTACACAAACTGCTCTCAGTAAGTAATAAAGCTGGGTGTTTCAACTTTTTTCATATTTTTTAGAGACATGGTCTCTGGAAGCCCAGGTTAGCCTCAGACTTGGTGTGAAGCCAAAGATATTCTTCTTTTTTTGGGGGGGGAGGGGTTCAAGACAAGGTTTCTCTGTAGCTTTGGAGCCTGTCCTGGAACTAGCACTTGTAGACCAGGCTGGCCTCGAACTCACAAAGATCCGCCTGCCTCTGCCTCCCGAGTGCTGGGATTAAAGGTGTACACCATCACCGCCCAGCTGCCAAAGACACTCTTGAACTCCTGATTCTCCAGCCTCATCTCCCCAAGCCCTGAAACTACAGGCCCAAACTACCACACCCAGTTCTGGTTGTCTGAATTCTAAGTGCAACAATGTCTTTTCCTAGAATTAAACAAAGCTCTTTATAATATACATAATATAGTACTTATCTAATGAGTCCCTCCTTTACTTCCCTCACCTGGAAGGCCTGTCATCCGTGGGGTTGTACTCGCCATCATCCAAAGTACCATCTTCATACAAAGTACTAGCTATGACCAACCGGAACTTGTCACCTGAAAAGAGCATCACTATCAGAGCGACGATGCGGAACCCAAAGACTGCAAAGCTCTTACAGGTGCCCGTGTCTGATACTTACCCAAGTCCACGGGGTAAATCTGAATGTTTACATCTAAGATGAGGTCCATCTTGAAAGACTCACTCTCACAGTGCAGCCGAGACACTGGGGAAGAGGGACAGACATGATTACAGACACTGGCTTGTGGGTCCAATGCAAGAGAATAAACCACCCAACAGGCCCACACCCACGAGCCTTGCTCTTCGTCCCAGAAGCACAAGTGCAATCCGAATCAGATTCACGAGAAGGAAGAAAGCCAAAAGCTCAGCAGCTGACAGGATCCCAAGAAAGAAACAAGATTTCTCTAACAGCAACCAGTCTCTAGGCTCTAAGCCTGCCTGGATGATTCAGATTAAACTTAACTCTGAACAAGATAGTCACTTATACAGAGATTCCTTCTTCCTGACAGGCACTCTGCTGAGGGAATCGGCAGAATGTATTGAGAACTGACTCCTGTCTTTAAAAAAATAAAATTATAAATAAAATAATTAAAATAAATAATAAAGTAATAATGATGATGATGATGATGCCGGGCGTGGTGGTGCACGCCTTTAATCCCAGCACTTAGGAGGCAGAGGCAGGCGGATCTCTGTGAGTTCAGGGCCAGCCTGGTCAACAAAGCAAGCTCCAGTATGTCCTACACAGAGAGACTGTGTCACGAAAAACAAAAAATTGTCTCTTGGCAAAGTGACACGAGAAGAAACAACTTCTGGATCACTAGGAAAATAAATACACCAAGCAGACAGCTGAATGAAATTCAAAGAGGACTTGGCCAAGAGCTGACAATTCTTGTGGCAATATAAAACTATAGATTAGGAGGGCAGGCAGGTAACTCGCTGCATGGCCTTAAGTAACAAAACAGGTAAGGCCCCATCCACCTCTTACTAGCATAAAGTGAAGTGTGCGAGAGAGGCTCACGGTACAGCACAACGCTGAACAGGGATTAGAGAGGTGCCCAAGGGTTTACCAGCACCAAAGCTAAGGGCCACCCAGGCTCCAGACACCGCAAATACAATAGGAAAAGCTGTCTCAAGTTCCTCATTATGAAAACAAACAAACAACTGTTTCCTGAAGGAGGTACCGAGAGTGGGGCGGACCACTTGGGGGTGGGCATGTTGGCCTCTTCCCACAGACCTCCCCTACACACCTTACCTCGGTCAAACTTCTTGCCTTCTGGGTCAATGTCTTTCACATCAAAAATATCCTCGAACAGGATGCCCGCCATCGTAAGGGGCACGAGAGCTGCAGAGGTGCGGAGCGCGCGGCCACGACTGGGAATTCGCGGACCCCCTCACGCGGAGAAAAGAAGACAGGGCAGAGTACCGCCCCAAAAGCGGCAGCCGGGCAGGGGGCGCATGCGCACAGGCTGCAGGACCGCGGCCACTTCCGCTGCCTCCCCCTCGGGGCTCCTGAACTTCCGCCGGGAAAGGCCACCTCGGAGCTGCTCTGGCCTGATGGGCGAGTCTCAAAGCCCGGTGACTCCGCCCAAGGCGGGGACAAACTAGGTTCCACCCCCGGCGGGTACCGCGCCGCGACCGGCTCTACGGCGCCCTCTTTAGATCCCGGATCCCGAAGCTTGCAAAGCCTGGGGGCCTAACCCAGCCAGGAACCTTGATCCTTGGCCCAGCCCGGGCCGAGCCCTGCCCTGCGAGCCGCGAGCCGGCCGAGGGCACAGTCCGTGCAGCAGGCGGGTGGAGCAGAGCCCCGCCCGCAGAGCGCCCGCCCAGCGGGACGTAGTACCCAGCCCCTCGGACTGCCACCAAAGTCCCCCACGCTGGTCCAAGCTGGCTCGGACCAGCTAGACGTCACCCGAGTCGGGTCTGTCCGGTTTGGGAATTTGCCATGATGTCACTCTCAGGGAAAGGAAAGCCCGCATTGTGCCCTCCCCTGGGGATTCACCTTCTCAGCACTCGCGTCTTCCCTTGGCCCTGCTTGGCACTAACCTCACACTCTGATCCCCTAGGACGCTGCCAATTGAACTTGGTACTGCCTGTCACCCCACTATATACTACCCTCTTCTGGACACTGATCTAGCGCGCCTTCACCCGGCACTGGACTTTCACTGGGAGGCGGCGACAGCTCTCGGTGCCCTCTTTCTAGGTGCTACCTCCTTGCATTGCGGTCCCCGTCGTGGGCATCGTACCCTCTCCTGGAGCACCTCTTTGTTTCCTGAATGAGTCTTCATCCTGGTACTGCTCTTTCTACACAGACTTCTGGGCACGGTCCTCTCCAGTGGCACCAACCTAACACTGCCCATCCTCTTTGTGCCCACGCCACACTGTTCTTATCCCTCCAAGAACCCTCAAAGACAACGCCGAGCCCCAGTAAGCCGCTTCCTCGAGGCGTCCGCAGCTACTCAAGTTCCCCCTTTAAGCGATGCCTGGGAGGAGCGACCTCTGCTCCCCCCCACACCCGCCTCCCAGGCACGGCCTCCCCCGCGCCAATAGCTCCCTTCCCTCGGGCCTCACCCCTTCCCGTCCCCTCCCACCTCCACCTCCGCCCCTCTCTCCAGGCCTAGCAGTTCCAGGTGCACCTTCCCGGGGGAACCAGAGGGAAAGAAGGAGAAAGGAGAAAGGGGGGCGATAAGGGAGCAGGCTCTCGGGGATCCTCCCAGATCCGTCTGAGCCGCCTGCAAGCACGAAGCAGCCCCAGTCGGGTCTGGCCCGGAGAGCTCGAATTATCCTTTTCTGCAGCCCCCCTGCCCCTGCCCGAGGATCACTACATCCCCAGCCCCTCCCACACAGCGCCGCAGCCGCCGGAGAGCCCGTCCCCTCCACGTGCCAGCGGACCCGCCCCCTACGGCCCCGCACCCTCTCGGGACCGGGTCAACCCCCGGCCTACCGACGGAGGGGGGGGCGCGAGACCGCGTTGCAAGCGCCCCCTGCCGCTTCTCCGGAGACCAGGAGGTGGCTCCGATGCAGACCCCAGCCCGACCCGGACGCCCCTTGCAGATGGGCCAGGGCGGAGCAGCAAGCAGGGCACCGCCCTCGGCCCGCCCGCCTAGGAGGAGACGCTAGCGGGAGGCTGAGCCTGCGGCGCGCGCCCGGGGACCCGTCGCACTCTGCACTCGGCCGCCGGGGCTGAGGGGACGGGACGGGTGCGGGCTCAGCGGGCCGGGAGCTGAGTCAAGGCCAGAGCCCGAGAAGCCAAGCGAGGCAGGAGGACAGTGCGCCGAGATGGCGGCCTCGGGGGCCGCGGCGGGAGCGGCGGCGGCGACGGGGGAAGGGATGGAGCCTCGGGCGCTGCAGTATGAGCAGACCCTGGTAAGTGAAACCTAAGGGGTGCGCTATGGCACCACGGCTGCAGGTTGCCCTAGGAAGTATGAGGACAGGCGGCCTACCCTAGCCCGGCCTCAGCCTTCCTCAGCTGTGGAAACTGAGGTTCGGGATCCGACAGGCTGTAGGTTCACGCTCGGGGTGTGTTGGAAAGCCGCTTGCTTGTTTCTGGCTGAGGCTGGTGGCCTGCAGAGGACAATGACACCAGGTGCTTGGCCCAGGTGCCCTTCCCCTTACTCCCTTACACGCTTTTGTTTTTTCCACTTAACCACTGGAGCCCAAGTTACAGCACGTCAGCCCCCTTTCTGGGTACCATCCGTACCTCCGAACTTTCTCCACATGCCTGTCCACATTGACCACCCTCCCAGTGCTCCTACTATGGCATGGCACTAAGCTGGGCGTGAAGACTGTAGGGAGGTGAGCAAATCCAAACCTGTCCCCTTGCCTTTAACAACTCAAAGTCCAGCATTGACGAGAACCCTTCAGTCGAACTTTTGGGAAAGGTGGCTTAGGTGACTTGTCACCCTGGGGACTGGAAGCAGGAATGGGTGTGAGAACTGGAACCTTTGTTCAGACTGGATCTAGGCAGGTACCCCACCACCAACATCCACGCCCATGAAGTGTCCCTTGAACTCTTAAGAAACAGGGGTCCCAAGCTTGGAGATGACTCATGGCCACCACTATTGAGAAGCCATTCAGCCTCATGTCACTAGGGTGGGGGGCCCAAGCCCTACAGAAAGAAGCTGGCCCTGTGGCTCCTTTTTATCAGCTTAGGCTGGAATTTGCCCAGAAGGGTGGCAGGGAGGAACCTCCTTGAGAGAGCCTAGACTGTAACTGAGTCAGGGAGGTGGCCAATTACCAGACTGTAGGAAACTGGCTAACTGGGAGAGGTGTCACTATGCCTAGGTGACACTAGTGGTGGCAAGCCCTTTTGTTTTCGATGGCTCTTATCCTTGCCATCCACAGGTCAAGGAGAGGGGCACTTGGCCATGGAAGCCGGGCACCTAACCTCTGAAATGGTATCTCTTTTGCACCAGCCGCCACTCCAGCTCCCTGTGTCTGAGAAAGGAGTTCTCAGGGTCAAGCTCTCCCTGCTCTGGCCTCTCCCACTTCCCCTCCTACCCTTTTGTCTTGCCCTCACCTCCTCCCACCTGCTGTTTCTAGACTCCAGTCTTCCTCCTCCCTGCTCTCCACACTTTCTCCCTCTTTCCTATGTGGTTCCTCTCCCCTCTGCCTCTCCCTTTCCTCTATGTCTCACCCTCTCTGTGTCTGTCCTCCCCCTCCACACACACACACAAACCCCAACCCCAACAGGAGCCCTTTGTGTCCTGAAGCTCCGCGGGTGGCAGCCAGAATCTACTCCTCCCCACCCCCCAACACACTCCCGGCTTGGCAGGTCCAGCCATAACTCTCTCCCTTCCCATCAGCCTGGTGTCCACAGTCACAGCTTTGCCATCTCCAGGCTCCGCCGTCCTCCGGACCTGTCACTGGCCTCAAGTGCAGCTCCAGTGCAGGACTGAAACCACCCAGCACTGCCCTACCCACCCAAAGAGGCTTTCCACTTTCAGCGGGCTGATGGGATCGTGGGGGTTCGGGAGTGGAGAATGAGGACAAGGGGATTAGGGTGGGTGGGAAGGGTGCTGCTGAGGTTGGTCACAGGCCAAAGGCCCAGCAGGAATGTGATAAGGATTGGGGCTGGGACCTCCTAGGCCCAGCTCAGCTGCACTCAGCTCCACCAACTCTTACTGTTGCTCCTGCGCCCTTGACCACCCCTTATTCTCTGACCTTCCCGCCTCCCACTTTCAGACCGCGCCTTCCTCTGGACCCTTCCCTCGCCTCCCCAGTGCCCTCACCCTTGGCTCGCTAGAAGAGGACTGATTATTCTGCCACCCCCAGAGTTGTGTCCCTGTACCTTGTCTGTCCCCATCACTCTGGCCGGGACAGCCCCCGCAGTCTACAGTGTGCATTGTTCCCACACTCTGAGCCTGAGTCAAAACTGGCTTCAAGATGGGGTACATAGTGTGGGAGCTAAGCAAAGGGGGGTTCAAAACCCAAAAACCCTCCCTGGATTCCCCACCACAGCCACACATGGTAATGCCACATTTTGTCCATTGCTCCAGATGTATGGCCGATACACTCAGGAACTTGGGGCCTTTGCCAAAGAGGAAGCTGCTCGGATTCGTCTGGGAGGGCCTGAGCCCTGGAAAGGGTCCCCTTCTGCCCGGACTCCCCCAGAGCTTCTGGAATATGGACAGAGCCGGTGTGCCAGATGCCGCAGTGAGATCTGGATCGGGGCAGGGACCTAGCTGTTCTGTGTTGGGAGAGGCAGAGACCATTAGAGCTGCCTATGGGGGATGGGGAGACAGGATTAGGAGCACTTTGGTACCAGCTTCTCTGTGACTCTTCCTTCCCCTGCTTCCAGTTTGTTCTGTACGCTGCCACAAGTTCCTAGTGTCCCGGGTTGGTGAAGACTGGATCTTCCTGGTCCTGTTGGGGCTCCTCATGGCATTGGTCAGTTGGGCCATGGACTATGCCATCGCTGTCTGTCTACAGGGTGAGGGCAAAGGCTGGAAAGGGCCACCCTGTTTCCTCCATGCCACAGTTGTTTAAGTAACTTGGCTCCTGGCCACTTTCTCTGGCCAGGCTGACTGCCCATCTCCAGGCATAGTTACTGCCACTTGCAGAGGCCACACCTTCTGGCCTGCCCTCCAACTGTCTTATCTATGATGGGCTTTGTCCCAGCAAATGCCTTCTAGGGCCTTCCCATCCCTCTGGGCCCCAGCTCTGTGTACTTGTCCTATCAGTGTGTCTCAGTGGCAGGCAAGGTGTGGATATGTGCACTGGAAGGCCAGCAAGCATGTCCTGTGCCCACAGCTCAGCAGTGGATGTCCCGGGGCTTAAACACCAACATCTTACTCCAGTACCTGGCTTGGGTTACCTACCCTGTTGTCCTCATCACTTTCTCTGCTGGATTCACCCAGATTCTGGCCCCGCAGGCTGTTGGTAGGATAGGAGGGGCTCAGGGGGGCGGGGGTGGAGCTCAAGCTTCCTGAATGGGGTCTCTCAGACAACTTCTGTGGGTCTGTGCCTCTGCAGGGTCTGGCATCCCTGAGATGAAAACCATCCTTCGGGGAGTGGTGCTAAAGGAATACCTCACCCTCAAGACCTTTGTAGCTAAGGTCATTGGGCTCACCTGTGCCCTGGGCAGTGGGATGCCCCTTGGCAAAGAGGTAATTGCAGGTTGGGGAATGAAGGCACCCCTCCCATCCGACAAAAAGCCAGGCCGAGGTCCAGAAGGCCCCACCCCTACTCACCACCAACCCCTACCTCCAGGGACCCTTTGTGCACATTGCCAGCATGTGTGCTGCCCTGCTCAGCAAGTTCCTCTCCCTCTTTGGGGGTATCTATGAGGTAAGAGGAGAACCCTAAGATCTGGGGAACGGGGTGGGAGTGGGGCTGCTGAGCCCAAACTGACGCTGCGTCCCCACCCTTGCCAGAATGAGTCCCGGAACACAGAGATGCTGGCTGCTGCGTGTGCAGTAGGAGTGGGCTGCTGCTTTGCAGCCCCTATCGGAGGTAGGCACGGCTCCAATCTGAGCCTAGCCCCACCTTTGGCCTCTCCCCCCTCGACCCCTCTTCTCCTGGGAGTAAGTCCACCGACCAGACTCTGGCCTCAAGGGCGATGTCCTCTGCCCCCTTGCAGGGGTCCTATTCAGCATTGAGGTCACCTCCACCTTCTTCGCTGTTAGGAACTACTGGCGGGGCTTCTTCGCAGCCACCTTTAGTGCCTTCATCTTTCGGGTCTTGGCAGTCTGGAACCGTGATGAAGGTGGGGATGTTGGTGGCGGTGAGGGCATCTGAGGCAAGTCAAGTGCGACACAAATTTACCTGCCACCCCTCTACTTCTTCCTTTCAGAAACCATCACTGCTCTCTTCAAAACTCGGTTCCGACTCGACTTCCCCTTTGACCTCCAGGAGCTCCCGGCCTTTGCTGTCATCGGGTAAGAAACTTCCAGGAGGGTGTGGGACAGAAGGTCTCCATAAGAAGGCCTCCCCTCCACCCTGGTCCTTCTCTCTTCTCCAGTATTGCTAG